ACCCCAGGTCCGTTGTTTTCCAGCTTTGTGGACTCAGGCAGGTCACTTATCTTCCAGAACTGTTTCCTGGTCTGCAAGACAAAGGGCAGGACTAGATTAGTGGTTCTTGACAAGTGTTTGAGAATCTTGTAGAGCATGAACTCTCTCCCCAGAAAAAAAAAAAGTACATATATGCAAACAAACACTTTTCCTTCTATTTCTGGGGGTTCTCAGTCTCCCTGAGGGCCATTAGCGGGTCCTTTTCCACATTTCTCCAGGTGCGGCCTGTCTGGGGACCACTCACATCATGAGTGCTGATTTTGGGTCCCACTCTCGACATAATGAATAGAAATGTCTAGGGGTGGGGGCTGGTAATCTGCAATTTTTTCAGACTCTTTAAATGAGACTTTTGTTCCCTCAGGTCTGGGGATCACCGGTCTGGTCCACAGACCCAGATAAGCACCATTTGTGTTAGATGTTCTCTGAGGCCACTCTCACCCCCAGCAGCTCTCTGGGTGTAGCCGACACACAGTGGGGATGCAAATTGTGGGGAAACACATTGCAATTTTAAGGTTTGGTGTAGGACACTTTCAGGCTTGAACTGACAAAATCCTCCTGGAATGTGGAGTCCCTTCCCCTGCCCGCCTCTGCTGTCACACCCTCTGCTTCCACACCTCAACTGATCACCTAAACCCCCGCAGAAGCAGGGTCTTTTCTGGTTTGGGCTCCTGGTTTAAGACCAAATGTGCTTTTCTGGACAATTTCTTTTAACCACTTGGCTATGGTCCTAGCCAGACCTTGCCCAAGAGACGATCCTTTCCTCTGGCTGTCAACTATTTTCTGGGCCAACGTGCCACCTCCCCAGGCCCTTTCTGAGTTCCAGTCTTCTCCCCAGTCCCTGCTCCTGGCCCCACCCCCACCTCTGCCTCCCTGTCTCCCTCCCTGGTTCTGAGCATTACCTTCTCCCAGAATGCCAGACTGCAGAGTTCTCCTCGTGTATCTCCTCTTCAGAGGGGCCTTCTCTGAGGACCAGTCTAATGATGCTGTGCCTCTCCGCCAGTCACTTTCCATCATCATCACAGAATTTATCATCCCCAGAAGTTATCCCGTATGTACATTTGCTTCCTTTTCTATTCATCTGTCTCCCCTCCACTCTCCACTGAGTGCAGGAACCTTTCCGCCTCATCCACCATCACTTCCCCAGTGCCTTGAACACTGTCTGGTGCATAACAGGTGCTCAGTAAATATCGTTGGATAGTTGAGTGAATAAATAAGTGAATCAGTGAGATTTTTTTTTTTTGTTTGGTTTTTTTTTGGGGGGGGTTGTCCTTTTTGTGACTGGTAAGGGGATCACAACCCTTGGCTTGGTGTCGCCTGCACCGCGCTCAGCCAGTGAGCGCACTGGCCATCCCTATATAGGATCCGAACCTGTGGCGGGAGCTCTGCTGCGCTCCCAGCGCCACACTTTCCCGAGTGCGCCACGGGGTCGGCCTGAATCAGTGAGTTTTGAAGGCTCTTCTTGCCAGGTTCATGCTCCAGTCCTTCCACCCTCAATTCTATTCCTCTCTGTGAGCCCAGCATCTCATTAAAAAGCCCTCTTAGTGATTCACACCTTTGCTCCCTGGCCCTAACACTGCCTGGCTGTTTGGTTTGGGGCAAGTTATTAGCCATTCTGAACCTCAGCTTCTGTCATTCATTCATTCAGCAGTATTTATTGAGCTCCTACCATGTTTGCTGAGTGCTAGAGATACAGCAGTAAGCAAAACAACACAAAACAGAAATCCCTGCCCTTAAGGAATGTACATTCTATCAGACGGAGAAAAACAAATAAAAATAATCATACATAAGTAAAATACAGAATAATTAGATGGTGATGTGTGCAGAAAAGGGCAGTAGGTGGGGAAGGAGGAGACCTTCCCGAGACGGCCTCTCTGGGACAGAACAATAATAGAATCCACCTCGTAGGGCGGAGACTAGCAGAAGTGAGTCAGCGTGTGTAAAGCTCAAAGCATCCAGCCTTTAGAAATCACTCAATAAATGTTACTGATTAGTACTTACTGTTTCCATCGGTGCACTCTCAGGCAAGATATCTCCACCTCTGATCCATTATATTTACTTTTCTCATGGATCCCTTTATTATCCTTCTTGGCAAATGTTAAAATACTGGAGTCCCCACAGTTATAGTAAAACCCATGTCTAGCTCCCTCATCCCCCCTAGAACCACCCTCAATCCATAAGTACCTTTGGAAGGAGTGGTTTTTGCTGCATCACAGAACTGCAGGTCCCTGAGCAGTGGACCCGGGGTCTCTCCCATGTGTTCTGGGTGCACTGTCCCACCGCCAGAAAAGCCCTGTTCTCCCCGCCCAGGTCAACCCCACCCTGCCTGGCTCACCTGGCTCCACTCATTCCTTCTGCTACAATACCATCCATCACGCCCTGCCTGACTCCCACTTTCTCCTGGAACATACCACACCCCCGGCAGCACCCATCAGACCATGATGCACAAATGTGTGTCCTCCTCAGCCTCCCCAACTCTGCTGAAGTCCCAGAGAGCAGGGACCATCTATTTTCTTCTTTGAGGGCACAACTAGAACAGTATCAGGCACTTAGAAGGCTCTCAATAAATATTTGCCAAATTTTGCTCAAATGAATAGGAAAGTTGAATATGTTTAGTTCTAAAGTTTTTTGCTTTCCAGCAAAGTTAAAGTGTCTTATGAAAACAGGCAAAATTGACAATTTGAATTTGAAAGATTTCCTTTCTACCCATCACTCACACTGGCAGCTGCTATATGCTCCACATGTTTGTCTCTCTCACCCATCCAGTGTACAGAACGGGGCCAAGAATAATAGTAAGCACAGGCTTTTGTGCTGGAAGACGCTGCATGAGAGCAAGTGATCCAACCTGCATCCCTTCATGGGATCACTGTGGCCTTTTGGTAGTTAAGCCTGCAGGGTTGAAAACTCTTCCCGAGGTCGTCTAGCCAGTTGGCAGTGTAACTGGGTTACCTTTGAAAACATCAGTTGTCTAGGATTTTACGTGGTCATGAGGTTCTAAGCGGAGGATTTGAACTCAGATCTCCCGCCTCCTAGTTGCATTCTTCCCCACGTATTTCTCTTTTCTTGCTGGGAAGGCACGAGTCTCCTACTCATTCCAACATGACAAATACAATGATTCNGCACTGGCCATCCCTATATAGGATCCGAACCTGTGGCGGGAGCTCTGCTGCGCTCCCAGCGCCACACTTTCCCGAGTGCGCCACGGGGTCGGCCTGAATCAGTGAGTTTTGAAGGCTCTTCTTGCCAGGTTCATGCTCCAGTCCTTCCACCCTCAATTCTATTCCTCTCTGTGAGCCCAGCATCTCATTAAAAAGCCCTCTTAGTGATTCACACCTTTGCTCCCTGGCCCTAACACTGCCTGGCTGTTTGGTTTGGGGCAAGTTATTAGCCATTCTGAACCTCAGTTTCTGTCATTCATTCATTCAGCAGTATTTATTGAGCTCCTACCATGTTTGCTGAGTGCTAGAGATACAGCAGTAAGCAAAACAACACAAAACAGAAATCCCTGCCCTTAAGGAATGTACATTCTATCAGACGGAGAAAAACAAATAAAAATAATCATACATAAGTAAAATACAGAATAATTAGATGGTGATGTGTGCAGAAAAGGGCAGTAGGTGGGGAAGGAGGAGACCTTCCCGAGACGGCCTCTCTGGGACAGAACAATAATAGAATCCACCTCGTAGGGCGGAGACTAGCAGAAGTGAGTCAGCGTGTGTAAAGCTCAAAGCATCCAGCCTTTAGAAATCACTCAATAAATGTTACTGATTAGTACTTACTGTTTCCATCGGTGCACTCTCAGGCAAGATATCTCCACCTCTGATCCATTATATTTACTTTTCTCATGGATCCCTTTATTATCCTTCTTGGCAAATGTTAAAATACTGGAGTCCCCACAGTTATAGTAAAACCCATGTCTAGCTCCCTCATCCCCCCTAGAACCACCCTCAATCCATAAGTACCTTTGGAAGGAGTGGTTTTTGCTGCATCACAGAACTGCAGGTCCCTGAGCAGTGGACCCGGGGTCTCTCCCATGTGTTCTGGGTGCACTGTCCCACCGCCAGAAAAGCCCTGTTCTCCCCGCCCAGGTCAACCCCACCCTGCCTGGCTCACCTGGCTCCACTCATTCCTTCTGCTACAATACCATCCATCACGCCCTGCCTGACTCCCACTTTCTCCTGGAACATACCACACCCCCGGCAGCACCCATCAGACCATGATGCACAAATGTGTGTCCTCCTCAGCCTCCCCAACTCTGCTGAAGTCCCAGAGAGCAGGGACCATCTATTTTCTTCTTTGAGGGCACAACTAGAACAGTATCAGGCACTTAGAAGGCTCTCAATAAATATTTGCCAAATTTTGCTCAAATGAATAGGAAAGTTGAATATGTTTAGTTCTAAAGTTTTTTGCTTTCCAGCAAAGTTAAAGTGTCTTATGAAAACAGGCAAAATTGACAATTTGAATTTGAAAGATTTCCTTTCTACCCATCACTCACACTGGCA